CATAGTCATATGTGGACACAGGATCTCAGGAAAGCAAATTCAAACAGTTCAGAGGAAAAATAGGCTTGATTCCACCATCTGAGATGTTAAAAGGGGAGTTGGCTCTATATGGTCAAGGGACATTCAGAAATAATAAGAACAACACTGTCAAGGAAGAGGCAGGATGATATAGTGGAAGAGCATTAAATTGGGAGTCAAGAGCAGAGTTCAAATCCTAACTACCACTTACTGTGTGTGTCCTTAAACAAGTCACTCATCTTCACTAGACTTCAGTTTTCTTCTCTGTAAAATGAAGAGGCTAGACAACATGATCCCCAAGTTCCTACCAAGCTCTAAATCCTTGGTCTTCGGAGGAAAAAAAAGTATCTAAAAAGGCTAATGTGGATACATAGGGAGCTCTCTAGTGAGCTCAGATTTTAAAAGGACATGTAGAAAAGATGCAAATGAGCATATAATAACAAGAAGGAAAAACCTTTAAGAACAGTGTCAGGAAGATTATAGCTCAGAATGGATATATCTACATATATCTATAATAACATCTAACAAAAATCTCCCAAGACAACAAAGTGAGTTTCTTAAGCTCTCCTGGGTACAAAGAGAATGTGAACAAGATAAATCTACTGCCTGTAATAATGGTATTTTGTTAACTGTCTACCACCCCCCAAAGATGTTTATTCCTCACTCCTTGGCCAGGAAGGCAGACACCTATGCCAAGGAAGACTCTTAGCCCCAGCCAACAGGACAGCCAGGAGGAACATGTAACACATGGTACAGAGAAAGGAAAATGCCTCAGTGGTCATTGTGCTCTTAACTTCTCTATGAAAGAGAATGATCTTTACATCATTCAAATGAGGTAAGATGGCAAGGGACCACCTCGCTGCTCTGAATTAATTCACGTTTCCCAACCTAAAAATGACCCCCCAGATGCTGCTTTCAGATGCAGGTGCCAGCCCATGGCTGGCAATTCTGAGGAACTGTGATGAGCAGGAGAGGGTCCAGAAGCCTGGCATGGCCAAGCACCATCCTAATTTACAAAAAGATGAAGAAGGAAGATTCTAAAGACCATAGAGGATGGAGTTTGGCATCCATCCCCAGCATCATACTAGAAGGGCTGGTATTTGCTCTCAGAGAGGCAGTCCTCATTATGTTTCATGACCCACCAAGCTAATCTCATTGGCTTTTTCAACAGGGTCTGTAGACTGAGGCAGGATGGTTCATTTTAAGAAGTGCTGGGTTTGGAATCAGAGGGTCTGGGTTCAAATAGTGTCAGTGCCACTTACTATTTGTATGAATGTGGGCAGATCCTTTTACTTGTAGGAGCCTCTGTCTTATCTATAAAATGAGAGTGTCAGACTAGATAACCATGAAGTCCTTTCCAGTGATATAATGATAATCTTGTGATTTTATAATGTGACAAAGTTCTCATTATATACTTGTAAACAAGATGGAAAAAATGTAAACTGGCTAATGATATAATTAACCTCCACCAGTCAATAAGCATTTATTAAGCACCTACTTTATGCCAGGGACTGTGCTAAGCACTGGAGATATGAAGAGAGGCAAAAAGACAGTCCCTACCCTCAAAGAACTCACAACTGTTTAGATGACCATAACTAAAAAGTATTCATGAAATAATAAACCTGGAAGGAAGTCACCAGTGGTGAGCCACAGGGCTCTATCCTTGACCACCCTGAGGTTAAAATTTTTATTTCTCCCTTGGATCAAGAGTCAGATGATATGCTTATTTCATTGCAAGAGACAGAAAACCAAAAAAAAAATTCTATTTGATTACCGAATTGGGATCTAAGAATATCTTGACAGGATAGAATGAAGAATGAAATTTAATAAGATTAAAGTGTACAATTCTTGACTGATTAAAAAAACATCAAAAGAACAAATACAGGGAGGGGGAGGGTGGTTATTCAGCAGTTCACGCCCAGACGACCTAAGGTGGTACAGAATGCTGGACAGAGAGCGAGGACTGGCCTTAGAAAAGACCTGAGTACACTTCCTATGCTGGGTGACCCTGGACAAGTTACTTTAACTTTCTGGGTCTCATTCTCTCATCTAGGTCCCTTCCAGCTCCCAGTCTCCCGTCCTAGGAGCAGAGAGATCTCGGGGCCACCTGGCTGTAGTTTACAAGCGTCTAGCTCCAGCCCTGCCTGGAGTGCCATGCTCACCTGGGGTGGAGGGGGCATTTCCGGAACAACCTTGATAGCCCAGAGGGCATGCAGAGGAGGCTGGCTAGAATTGGGAAAGGACCAGAAAACCAGATGCTCTTTTTAGCTTAGACAACAGACTCGGGTGATGCTTATGCAGAAATCTTTCCGTATTTGACTAGTACCGTGTGGTTCCAGAGGTCGCCAGTGGATGAGCCCGCAGAAAAACATCCCTTAACCAAACAAGGAGCTTCATGAAGAATCTACTAGAGCTAGAGATGTCTAGCAATGGGCTTCTTTATTCAGTAGCGAGCTCCCTGGCACTGAAGGTATTCAAGCTGGGACTGGCGGATATGTCAAGAATGTCATTGAGGAGACTCGTGCTTGGGGGAGAGGGAGGCATTCCGGTCAGGGAGAACCGGGGCTAGCTAACCTCCAAGGTCCCTCCGGACTGTAATATCCTAGGGGTCTGTAATCCTTGAGGTATGCGAACTGGTGGGAGAGCTGAATAAGAATGTGGAGCTCTGCGCCGGGATTGGACGTGAAACACTGCGTCTTTCTGTGCCAGGTCAGGAACGCTGGGGTGCTGGTGCTGTCTCACCCAGACATCGTCTGATATTAGCGAGCCTGAGAGCTCTTTGGGGCAAGAGATAGAGGGAAGAGGCTCTAACTCACTTAAAGCCAATCACGCGCAAGTCGAGTCGTGACGTCATTGGTCCTCTTGGAGAAGGAAAGACGAACAATGATAACAAAGGGACACAGGAGGATGGAGGGGGGAGGGGGGCTCCCGACGCTTCCTAGCTTTGCGATCCCGTCGGAGTCCTCTCATCCCTCTGGGCACAGTGTCCTCCTGGGCACAAGGAGGGGGTACGGGGTCTGGCTCTGAAACCCGCGACGCTGCTCTAAGTCCATATTGGCTTTCTGTTGGACTGGGAGCTCCTGAGGGCAGGCAGCATCTCAGGGCCGCCTTTGTACCCCAGCACTTAGCACGGAGCCTGGTACAGAGACAATGTTGGACACGTGTTTATTGTTGTTTGGTGATTCTGGGAGCTCTGAACCGATCACTTCAGGCCGACCCCAATCCGGCGACACCCCTCTAAGTATTGCCTTTGAAATATAACAGTGGGCTTCTTTTTTTTAACCGACTCTGAAATCTTATTTCCCTAAAATAACTACTCCCCGCCCCGTGACATATTGGCATCAGGCAGCTTTAAATGAGATCGACCAAGAGCCCCGGTGAGCAAATAGAAACCTCTGGAAGGTACTGGCCTTTCTCTCTCTCTGCCGAGGATGGAAGCCTTTCCTTGCAGGAAAAAAAACAAAACAAAACATCAAGTCCGTTCTCCTTTGTCATAATTGTTGACACCTTCCTAAGTAAAAGAGAAAACTAGATCAGCATGGTGGAAGACAATGGACTTCAGTCGCAATAATTTAAATGCAACGGTATGGGGGGAGAGGGAAGGTTGGCTTTTAGACAAATGGGTCCTTTACCTCCTGGAATAAATAAATCATGATGTTAGTGCATCAAGTATAAATAATAAAAGAGGGAGATGGGAGAAATGAAGAGTTGACAAGGTGGAGAAAAAGCTATGGGTACCAGGAAAGGGTTTGGGGCAGGGGGACTGAATACCAGCTCCCCTTCATCACCCCAAAACAGCAAAGATTGCTCTGAATAAAGCAAAAACACAGAAGTCAACAAAAGGGGGGAGGGGGGAAGGAATCCAACATTAGGACAAACTTCGAAGAGGCACAGGAGGCCAAAATTTTTAAAGTAGTAAACGTTATCCAAGTGGTCTCCAAACCCAAGGATGGCTGCCCACACTGGAACAAAGGAAAATGAGAAAGCCTCACAATGAGAAGAAGGGAAGCTGCAGCAGAAACAATGGGGACCTCTGAAATGAGACCCAAAGTGCTTCAGAAACTCACAAACTAACCAAAGAAAGAACCGGGAATGAGAAATAGAGCATTCACAGAATACAGAAAGACAACCAAGAAAAAACGGTTTCAAACACATGATGGAGAAATCTCCCTCTTCAGTGGATGCTCTGAAAAAGAGATAAGAAGCAATTAATTGGGGGGAAAAAACCTTGGTAGCAACCATATCTGATAAAGGTCTGCTCTGCAAGGTCTGTAAGGAATTGGTTCCTATTTGTGAGAACAAGAGCCCATCCCCCTTGCCTCACTGGTTGGAATGCCCCATGGCCTCTTCCAAGCTCACCTTCTGCCCTTCCAGTTCATCCTCCATTCTCCCCCATTCAGCTGTCAAAGTGATCTTCCTGAAGATGACCATGTTACTCTCACTAAACTCCGATGGCTCTTTCTTATCTCCAGCATCCTAGATTCAGAATATACCCCACCCCTTTCCAGTCTTCTTATGCCTTACTCTTCCCTCCAGTGACACTACCCTCCTGGCTATTCCCCAAACAAGACCCTCCATCTCCTGACACTGACTGTCCCCCATACCTGGAATGCTCTGCCTCATGGCTTCCCCGGCTTCCTTTGAGTCCCAGCTAAAATTCCACCTTCTAAAGGCAGCCCCTGGCAGAGAAAACCAGAAAGAGATGATGATTTGGGTCAACAAATGAGGAGCCTAACTTGGGCCAACTCACGCAGATCAGGACAAGGAGGAAGGGCACCAGTGGCCTGGGTTCTCTAGAACTAGCCTAGAAACTCTTGGGTATTTGCCACTGATCAGGTCCCTGTTCAGCTCAGGTTTCTCACCAATTCTAACAAAATGTTCATCCTTTCCTAAAAATTTTCCACTGGCCTGCTGCTTAGTGAGCTGGGGCCAGAAAAGAGAAATGGTCCCCTATTAAGAGTGCCTTATTTTTCTGTTTTTAGAAAACTTTCTCCAATCTGCCCAAGGCTTTGAGCAATGAGCTCGACTGGCCCGAGCTCTCTGGCACAACAGGATTTCTGAATTCTACCAGTGGGTGAGTGAATGCGTCTGTGAATACATGTGCAACATGTACACACATCCATGCAAACACACACACACACACACACACACACACACATACAGAAACTGGAAGGGCTATGGGGGGGAGGGGCCGAGGGCTTGAAATCATTGATAAGGGTCATTAGCCACCATCTCTAGGACGGGGAGGGCATCCAAGGAAGCTCCTGCTGAGCCCTAGCCTAGATCCCTAGGGGCTGGACATGAAGCTGGATTTTGACTAAGACAAATGTTCCACCGGCAGAGCCCATACTACTGACTTCAGACAGAAAACCATGTAATAGTTAGTTTTGCCAAACTGATCTGGTTTTTCCTTCTATTTCTTTTTTATATTTGTGACAAGGGATGGCAGGAGAAGTGAGGCATGTACTGAGAAATGAAGTGAAAGGCAAATAAAAGTTATCAACAAAAATTAAAATTAAAGAAAAAGAAAATGCTACTGGATGGGTAGCATAGACAGAGGGGATTCCCTATTATCCAGTCACAGGAATGAATATTTGTGAAAAGGAATGTGTAGAATTTAATTTAATTCAACAAGCATTTATTAAGCACCTACTGTGTGTGTTAGGATCCTACATCTAGGTCTAGAAGAGGTATGTAGTTTAACCCCTTTGTTTGATAGATGAGGAAACTGAGGCCCAGGAAAGTTGAGTGACTTGCCTAAAGTCACATGGGAACTCATCATCGGGGGAGGATTTGAACCCAGGCCCTTTGCCTCCAAACTCAGCTCTCTTGACTTGGTACCAAGGTGTGACTGGGATACAAGTACACAGAGCAGTAAATGTACAGAGCCGTTGGGGAAGGGGAGTTGACAGTGGTGGAAGGTGCTGTCCTGGCCTCCCAGTCAGGGCAGCTAAATACTGTCTCCTGGAGGCTGTACCCATCCATCAGCCTCTGCTCAGACATCTGGGCATGTGTCAAGAAACAAACATAAGCTCTGAGGTTAGCCCTTCCTCTCTTGGTTCAGCTGAGTCAACACATTCGTGCACCTGTTCTCTTGTCTCACAGTCCTGGGAAAATATTTACTCTCAAATAAGTAAAAAGACGGCCTTCTCTGCATAGGAAGGTCTCATGGGTTAAAGAGTAGGTTCATGGAGCCGGGGCTTCCAGGGACCTGGGAGGCCATCTGCTTAACACTTCTCATTTTACAGATGAGGAAACTGAGGCTCAATCAAGTTAAGTGACTTGCCCAAGGTCACTCAGGTAGTAGAAGTCCACTGGAAGGTCTCTAGGAGATGGTGACTTGGGGTGAGGTAGGAGCTGAGGTGGGGGAGGGGACAGAGCTTGGATGGGGGATGGGCAGGAGAGGAGCTCTCAGGAAGATGGATGAAATGTGGTGATTGACAGTCACATGCCTGCGGAAACCGCCTGTGGTCAGTCATCTGTCAGCAGGCATTTGCTAAGTGGTTACTAGGCACCTGGTGCTGGGCCGAGTAAGACAAAAGCGAAAGTCCCTGCCCTCAGGGAGATTATGTTCTACTAGCTAGAGTCAATTCCACTGCTAACTAACTGTGTGACCTTAGGCAAATCACTCAACCTACCCAGGTCTCAGTTTCCCCATCGTAAAATGGTCGTACAAACAGCCAACAAAGTCTGGCTATGAATTGAGCTGGGGGAATGTGGGGGGCCTGACCTGAGCGTGGCGACCACAGTGCCCACCTTTGGGATCCGCCTTCCTGCGGTACACATGCGGCACCACGACTCCCACAGGAGTCACGCCGTCCAGTATCCCACCCCTCTCATAGAGGAATGCCCTCCACGGCGTCATCAGCAGTGGTCATTCGGCCTCTTTTGGAATGCTTTCAGGGAAGGGGAGCTCACTGCGTTTCAAAGCAGACTCCAGTGGCTATCCTGCACATTACTCTATCAGGGCCCTAGCAAAAGAACCCCTAGCCAAAAACTCCGACAGAGAAGAGAGGGGACCAAGGAATGACCTTTCACCCCTCTCACAGCTCCCCCCAATCCGGTCCCTTCTCTCCTCTCCCTGGGGCCTCATCTCTCCCAGCTCCAATCCTCCATAGAGTGGGCCAAGGGGCTGCCTAAAACATAGCTCTGACCATGGCCCTCCCCCCCCCAGTAAGCTCCAGTGTCCCCCATTGCCTCCAAAACTCCCCCACTTGGCGTTTAATGCACTTCACAGAGACTGCGGTTTGTCTTTCCGGGCAGATCTCCCTTTACCGCCCTTCATAAATTCTACACTCAGGCCAAACTGGCCTCAGTTCTCTTCCTCGAATATACCGACATCCCATCTCCCTCCACCCAGCCTTTGCACACACTGCCTCCCCTGCCTGGAATGCTGTCATGCCTCACCTGTACCCTGTAGAACCATTAGGTTCTTTTAAAGCACAGCTCAAAGGGCTACCTCTTACAGGGAGCCTTCCCTGATCTCTCCAGTTGCTAGAGCTTCCCCCCAACCCCATAGGAACTAATTCTGCATGTATTTTGCATATACGTGGGCATATATACTGGTTGGTGCTATTCTTTGTAAGCAAGGTAGTAGCTTGTTTTTTACCTATTTGTTTGTAGAGGCGAGAATGCGTTCTTCTGCATTCTGCTTGGTGGGTCATCCTCGGGTTTCTTCCCTTTCTCTCTGTCCCAGAAGACCTTGTGGGATCCCCAAGGATGGTGGCCTTGCTGCGTGACTCCCTTCAGCAGAAGCTGAATTTTTCTCCTCTCAGCAAGTGAGGTTAGGAAGGTCAGCACAGTCACACAGGCCCACCTGCTACCGATGAAAGCTCGGTACGTTGATATCGGGCTGGAACTCCCACTCATCTATTTCAGCACTTCCCTGGTTTTCTCCCCTGGGAGACAAGCAGGGCTTTCCAAGAGTGCCCAGAATCCACCACACGCAAGCCAGAAGCATGAGCTTTCTCATAGACATACCTGACATATCTAACATAAAAGCTGGATACGACGCTCAGCAGAAATCCCAGGGCTGGTGACCAGCACCCAATCCTGGCCTTCGCCTAGCCTTTGTGGCTTGTCCTGCTTCATTATTAGGGGGAAAGTGGGCTTCTTGATTGGGGAAGTAGACTCCCCACTTCTCGTATCCTTTGGATCACCTCCCTCACCCCATTTCTCCTGGGGAAAGTTGCTAATTATATAATAATAAGTTAAGGCTTGCCACCTAAGGAGATTCCCAGAAAGGGGGAAAGTTTAAAAAACTGGGACCCAATGTACAAATGTGAATCAGATATGGAATAAGATTTTATTCCTATACAGAAAAGGGAATTCTAAGCATAAAAGTCTAATAGCATGCATTACAGAATGATTAGAACAGAATTTAGCAGCAATCTTCCAACGGTCTGAAGAGTCTTCAGGGCTAAAGAGTTTGACCATCCTGCTTATTACCCATTTCACATTTCAACATTGCAAGTTAGTCCAGCCAAGTCAAGAAGTATTTATTAAGCATTAGTAAATACTTAATTAGTGAATGTGCTAAGCACTGGGAATACAAACACAAGTCAAAAGATGGTCCCTGCCCTCAAGGAGCTTATATTCTTTTTTTTTTTTGTGAGGCAATTTGGGGTTAAGTGACTTGCCCAGAGTCACACAGCTAGTGAGTTTTTATGTGTCTGAGGCCAAATTTGAACTCAGGTCCTCCTGACTTCAGGGCTGGTGCTCTATCCACTGTGCCATCTAGCTGCCCCTGGGAGCCTACATGCTACTGGAGGAAAACAATTCACAAAAGGAAGCTGAAAGGTAGGGTAGGGGAAGCACACAGGGTCAAGATAGATAAAGGGGGGAGGAGATAGAGACAGAGACAGAAACAGGGAGAGAGAGACACAGAGAGAAACTACATCTTGGGGTGGGGGGGTTACATGTCCTAAACTCTTTTAAGCAAAGTTATCTTTGATTTCTTATTAACACAAGGTCAAGGCAACCTTGCCTATATATGGTTTCCATTTCACAATCCTTTCTATCACAAAATGGGCTATTGATTATTCAATTTTCTCACAGCTCTCAAGTCCTCCATGAGAAATTCAATTATAGAAGAGGTTCCCTGTTTGGAACAAGGAAATAAGATTTTCTGGCAAAAGAAAAGGTTATCTTGGTCACAGGATTAGGGACTAGACGTGTGATTTCATTGGTGCAGGGAACTCCCACATGAGGGAACTCCCTCTGCCAGTGCAGGACCCCCTTTTCTACACTACAATTTACAGTCCTAGAGAATTGCATGGGCACTGGGAATGTAATTAAGGTGCCCGGGTCACATAGCCAGCATGGATCAGAAGGGGCACTTGAGTCTTCATGCCCCTGCCCTAGCCTTCTCCTCCTGAGAACAGACATCTCAAAGCCCTGAGGCACCCCACCAGAGACTTCTTTCTAAATCAGCTTCAAAATATCAGTGATTGCTCTTTGAGGTCAACTGTTCAACCAGTTCTAAATAAACCTGATTTTCCCATCTCCTCATCCTCATTGTTCCATATTTCCCACAAGAATATATGAGAGACTCCAAATTCAGGTAAATGTCGCCAGCAGCTCCTTAATCTACCAAATCTACCTTAATCTGCCAAAAAGGAAACTAAGGCAGGTTATTCTGGCCCTAGTGTAGCCATGGAGGTGGGATCATGGCTTCCTCCTTTCAATGTTCACCAACCATCCCTTTAATGACAAATACCTTCTAGAATGTTGCCAAGCATCCAAGTGAAGGACTCTGGCCAGCAGTCTGCAGACTCCCATAGCTTCCCTTGAATAGATTCATCCGCCTAATTATGCCTTCTTTCTTTCTTTTATCTGTGTCTTTTGAAAATGGTGCACCCATCTAGAGTTATCTTCCCTTCATGGGTTTCATCTCCCAACCCCCCACACACACACATACACACACAAACACATACATGCATACATACATATACAGATACACACACACACACACACACACACACACACACACACCCTTGTTGCCTTAGGCCCTCTAGGTAATCTTGCTTGTCTACAAACTTTGTGTATTTATGCATAGATATTAGCAGCCATGGGTTTTAGACTTGCTCCCTTCTGGGACTGTATCTCCTGTGAGCTCCTGGATAGTGACAAAGCTAACCTTCCCTAATTGTAGCAGCTCTATTTGGTATCTGACTTGGTATCCACTCAAATCTTGCCTTCTGCAGGAGACCTTTCCTGGTCTCCTTACTCACCTACATGCATGCACACACACACACTCACACTTACATATGTACACACACATACACGTACATACACATATGCACATGCACACACTTATACATACACGCTACCCTTCTTCCTGATTTTACCTTCCATTTATGCTGAATAGGTCTCGTATGTCTATAGTCCTTTATGTGTTGTCTGCCCCATTAGATCACGAGCCCCTGGAGGGTAGGGACTGTTCCAGGCTCTCTTGGTCTCCCCAGCACATGAGCTCAGGGCCCAGCACAGGTAGTAAGTATTTTCCTCACCTGTAATGAGGGCTAATACTAGGCCTTAGCTCAAAGGGTGGCTGTGAGGATAGAAGAGCATGCCTGAAATGTTCCCAATTATGAAAAGCCAATAGAGGAATTGTTCCAGTCACAGAATGGCCTGGGGCATATTCACATTTTGTCTAAAAATTCCAGTAGCAGCCAGATAGCAGATGAACCCTGGACTTGAAGCTGGGAGAGACTTGGGTTCCAACCTTGCCTCTGATGAGCACTAGACTACGCTAATGTCCTCCTCCAAAGCTTCATCTGGGCTGGGGATCAGGTGCCCTGAGACTCCTGAAGGTCCCTGTGAGGGCTGTCCCACTAGTGACGGACCTCACACCTGTCCTCCCAGGACCAACTTAGAAGTCTATTTGGCAATTCTGAAGACAGTCTAGTAGGTGATGGAGGTACCAGAACCACAACGGTGGGATTCAGTTAGTAGTTTGGGGTCCACAAGGCACTTTCTGTCATCTCCCGTGTTTCATGTGTCAGTAGCCCCAGCACGCAGCTCAGAGCCAGGCACACAGTAGGTGCTTACAAAGTGCTTGTTAATCCATTGATCTGGTCAGTGGAGAAAGTAGCCACACTAAGTTCGGTTGCTGAGCTCACTAAGCACTTATTAACAGTCCCCCACTGGAAAAAAAAAATCCAACAAAACCAGGTGCCACTTTGGATCTTTTTATTTGATCGTCCTAAGATTCTGTGAACTCATTTCAGATTGCCGGACCACTCTATTTATCTCCGCCTACGTCAGAGAAACCGCTGCAATCACCGGGACTACCAGAATATTTCCAAAAATGGTACGTGTGTCCTACTGCTCTCTTCCAAGGGGACCTGGCCAGACGGTGCGGCCGTGCGAGCTGTCACTCGGCGATGTCAATAAAATGGCGTATAAGAGTGCGGAGGTGGGGGGGGTTGGAGCGTGGCACAGGTAGACTCCCTCCGCTCTTGCTCCTCTAGACGGGAGAAGCTGAGCCAACACCCGCCCTTGTCCAGCCTCCTCACTCCACTGGAGAGAATAGCAGGTCTGAGGCGGCAGTGAATATGACCCAGGCCATTCTGACACTCTGTGTAAGGCACATGCCCAGGGCCAGAGAGATGAGGTGAGCAAAGGGATGGGGGGTGGGGACGACAGTGAGCTCCGAGACAGTGCTTGGCGCAGGCAGGTGCGGCCTCTTCTCTTCTTTACAGGCTGAACGCGACAACGCTCGGCTCAGCTTTGTTGTTCTGTCTGTAGCTGTCATCATCTAAATAAAAATCAAAAGGACCAGAATTAAATATTCCAAAAAGAACCGAGTGCAATTGATATAAACCTACATGATTCTCCTGCTGTAGTTAGCTGTCATGACCAGATTATTTAAACATTCAAGTGATAAAACGGAAAAGAAAACTAAAAATCGTGGGCAAAGGGCTCTAATCACTAAACATCTGGCTGACAGAACTACACAGAAACCAGGGCTTCTGTCAGACTTCCATCTGCTCAAGAACTGTGTCTTCTCTGAAGGTCACCAGGGGTCTTAATCGCTAACTAAGCCACCTGGCTCCTTCTCCTTGACCTCTGTAAACTTTTGAAACTTCTCATGGACACTTTCTTCTCAGTGAGGTGAAGCAATGGACAGAGAACTGGAATCTGGAATCAGGAAGACCTGAGTTCAAATCCAGCCTTAGACTCTTAGTGTGGGACCCTGGGCAAGTCACTTAACTGCCATTTACCTCAATTTCCTCATCTGTAAAATGGGGATCATATTAACCTCCCTAGGTTGTTGTGAGGATCAAATGAAATAGTATTTGTAAAACATTTAGCACAGTACCTGGGACATAGTAAGTGCTATATAAATGTTATTGTTATTATTTTTTGTTGACTTCCATGACTTCTCTGGCCATTCCTCATTCTCATTTACTGGATCACCACCCATCTCTCGAACCTTAAACATGAATGACCGAGAAAGATTATGTCCTGGACACTCACCTCTTCGCTCTCTACCCACACTTCCTTGGTGATGTATTTCCTCTCCCCTCCCCTGATCACTGCAGCTTTTTAGCCTGCTGAGTTTACACACCACTAAGACCACCAGGTCTTCTTCAAGTGAGCTGCTGTCTAATCAGTCCTCCTCCATCCTCCAACTGTCTTTTTAACCCAAGACTTACATTCATACACACCTTGGGGGGCAGTGTGGTATAGTGGACAGAGACTAGCCTTGAAATCAGCAAGTCCTGGGTTCAAGTCCTGTCTCTGGCACATCCCAGGCATGTGACATTGAGCAAGTCATTTAACCTTGGTGCCCCAGGCAGCTCTTGACCCTTGTCACTTGTGGAGCAGGAGCCAGTCTGAGCGTGTAGAAGGAATGACCGCGCTGGAAGTGCACCTTTTTGGCCTCAGCACCGCCGCCCGTCAGGCCCCCAACCCGGGAGTCCAGAGTCCTGCAGGCATCTTAAACTCCACTTGTCCGAAGCAGAGCTCATTACCTTTCCCCCAAAATCTGTCCCCCTCCTCCCCTTCCCATTACTGTAAGAGGCACTGCTATCCTGCTGGCCCCTAACACTGGCAACCCAATGTCATCCTGGGCTCCTCTCTCTCTCTCTCTCTCTCTCTGTCTCTCTCTTCTCTCTGTCTCTCTCTCTCTGTCTCTTTCTCTCTGTCTCTCTGTTTCTTCTCTCTCTGTCTCTCTGTCTCTGTCTCTGTCTCTGTCTCTCTGTCTCTCTCTGTCTCTCTCTCTCTCTCTGTCTTTCTCTCTCTCTCTCTCTCTGTGTCTCCACATCTAAGTTGTTGCCAAGGCTATGATTTCACCTTTGCCACATCTCTCCAAAATGCCCCCTTCTCTCCTCCGACAGTGCCCTTGCCCTGGTGCAAGCCCAAATCACCTCACACCGGATCATTACAATAGGGAGGGGGAGGGGGTCTGCCTGCCTCATCTCTCCCTACTCCAGTCCGTCCTCCATTCAGATTCCAAAGTGAAGGTCAGACCACGTCACCCCCCTACTCACTAAATCCCAGTGGCTCACTATGGCCTCCAGAAACAGATACAAAATGCTGGGCTTGGCATTCAAAGCCTCCTCCCTCTCTTAGAATATTGGACCAGGTGACTGGCATTCATCTAGGGGAGCTAGGTGCCCTCTTCCTATTACCTTCCTTATCTTAGGTACCAGCTTCCCACAAGCCCTTGGGTTCTGTCCTTTGCAGTCCAATGGTCCTTCTCCTTGGCTGAGAAAAAAGAAGTTCAATGAGTTGGGCAACTCTTCCTAACCTCTATCACCAGTGGATCTTTTCCTACCCACTCCCCAGCATTGGTCCCATTCCTTCATTGTTCCCCTATTTCCCTCCATCTTAATTTTTAAAAAAGCAAGATAAGAAAACCTTGTTGTTCTTAGCTTTCCTCATCAGTCTCAACTTATTCCAAGCTTTAGACTCCTGACACTGTTGCTTTAGTCCAATCCCATGCTTTTGTATTAATTCTGTTACCTGCCCTCAGTTGTGTCATCTACACTCATCTTTTTAAAAAACTAAACTTGTTGCTGAATGTTCCAATCAAATGAGATAATATATGTAAAGTGCTTGGTAAACTGTAAGGAACTACATAAATGTCAGCTATTACTAAGACAATGGTTTTAGAAATAAAACAATAGATTGAATGAAAAACAGAATTATTTCAATGAAGAGTGAAATGTCAGAAACATCAGAGGGAGCAGAAAAACATGTCAAGAAAATTACAGAGGATATAAAAATAATAGCTAAGGAAAACAGGATAAGGAAAGATTTAAAAATTATCCAACTGCTTGAAAACTGAACCAAGGAATCTGAGCACTACATTATGGGAAATCATACAGGAAACTTTCTCAGGAACACTGAAAAAGGACAGATTGCAAATTGAATTCACTTTATGTCAATAGAAGTGAATTCCAAATTCAACTCACTCAGACATATCATGGTCAAGCTTCAACAGTACAATGATAAGCAGATGGTATTACAAGCAATCAAGCAGAAAAAGTATCAAATATCAAAAACAAGTAGCTAAAGTGCACAAAATATTTCTATATAAACAAGAAATGATTGAATCTGTAATATGACATACCTAAAATTAAGAAATACAGGACTTCCTCATCAAATTAATTTTCTGGTGAAGAATTCTCTTTGAAGATGAAGGACATTTAAGATTCCACAGGAATTTCAAGCATTTGTGGAAGGGAATACTAACATCAAAGCAGTTTTAATGATAAATAGAAAAGCTTAAGGACAAAGAAGATCCTCAACATTACAATGCAAAGAGGAAGTGACACGTGATTGAATTGTTCCCTTCTAAATTTTAACCATAGGCTGACAAAAAATAGCGTTGTTCTGATTCACAACTAAGTGATACAGATAGACTTTGAGGAGAAGGAAGAGGAGATAGGGGAAAGAGGAATAAGTTGCTTGTGGTTGTCACAGATAAAGAAAAGCAGAAAATAAACATGGCAAAGCAAGTGGAAGAGGGAGAAGGTACAGAAGTAATCCCACAGCAATACCTCCATCTCAAAATGGAGGGAAGATGGGAACGTTGATTTTTTTAAAAATAGCCTACAGCCCCGACAATAGAAATGATGGGACATATCATGTTGTATGAGCATGTATATGTTTTTGTAAAGGTTGAAAAAGGGCATATTTGAATATTTCTGTTTTTCTGGGTGGTTTTTTTCTAGTAATAATAAAAAAAGAATCACAGACATGTGTTAGAAAATTTCATCTTCCCAGGAATGTATCTTCTATGTGTAACAGTTGCTAAGAAACGGGGATCTGTCCTTGGCCTTGTTCTGGCTAACATTTTATCAGTGACCTGGATAAAAGCATAGGTAGGCTGCTCATCAGGTCTGCAGATGACACCACGCAGGGAGGGAGAGGTAACCCAGTGAGCAACATCCTGGATGGGATGAAATTGAACCAGAAGCAAACAGGAGGCAGACTACTCCAGGGCATTTCTGGTTCTCTAGATAACTCCTCTCTGGGGTTTGAATCATATAGGCTAGCCTGAAGAGAGATGCTGCAGCTGGTGGCCCTTCCATATTGGCCATTTGTCCCCCAGCAGGATTATGGGGGTGGGGGGGGCAGAGCAAGGCGGGCATGAGGGGTAGTGCTTTACCATGGGAAGATGAGAGCTATTAGGAAGGGGAAAGACACCCCAGTAAAGGAGGGGAGTGAGAAGGGAAGCCCAGCTCAGATAAAGCTGGTGAAACCACAGCCAAAAGGCAGGGAAAGGAACTGAATCTGGGAGGTGATTGAGAAAGAGAGTGATATGGAAGAGGACAGAAAAGGAGAGCACAGGAAATGGAGTTGTGACAGGTGCCACTCCCTCCCTGAGGGGGTGAAGAGAATGAAGTGCTCAGAATGGGGACACTGGGCAGGCACCTCAGACCTGCAGACCTGGCTCATTTTCCACAGTCAGCCACAGCTTTGAGAACACCAATGCCTCCGTGTGGGTAGGGTGCAAGGACTGAGGTCAGGAAGACCTGAGCTTGAATGATCCTCAGACATTTGCTCCCTGTGAGACCCTGGGCAAGTCATTTACCTTCTCTCAGGCTCAGTTTCCTCATCAGTAAAATGAGGACGGTAATGGCATTTGCCTGCCCGGGCTAATGTGAGATTCCAGTGAGGTCTTGTGTGTTCAGGGCTATTTTTTATTACTCTTCCCTTCCAAATTCTCCCCTCCAAGCTTTCAGGCAAGACAGCCTGCATTTGCTGGTGTCAGATTTAACTTATTCCTTCTCTCCCTGTTCCAGGTGCTTCTTCCAAAAACCTTCTGAAGTTCATGGGAAGGTGAGTGCTTGCATGGGGACTCAGCAAAGGTTTTCAAGTACCTTTCCTAAGTCTGAAGGCAGAATGTGAAGGTGCCTGGTGCAGGCAAACTTGACTAAAGGGTCAGAGGGTTAGTGTGGGAGGTGCAAAACTGGGTTTAGAGGAAGGCGCAGGGCCAGGCTGGCACCCACTGAGCCCAATACGTGTCTCAGGGAGGAATGTGCAGACATGACTGGGGAGGGAGTGAAAGCAGAATGCAAAGGGGGTGAAATTGGGACAGGCAGGGGTGAAGGAAAAGCACCCAGGCAAGATTGGCTAGAGGTTTCCTGGGTTCCGGGTCATGAATGGGGACTCTTCCAGCATGAGACTTGACCCAGGTTCCTGGTACAATAGACTTGGAAGTCCAAAGGTCATCTAGCTCCCCACACTTTAATGGGCACTCCCTCTCTCTCTCTCTCTCTCTCTCTCTCTCTCTCTCTGTATACATATATATATGCATATATATATATATACACACACAACAAATGGTGTATATTCTGATCCACACCCCTCCCTGCCCACCCATCCTGTCCATGTCCTCCTATAAGCACCACAAGAGATGTATTCCATGGCTGCAGCCCTTCCTCAGTTTCTCCTGATGTAATGAGTGCCCCTGTGGTCTCTCTTGCCATCCACTGGTTATCCCATCCCTTCTTTCCTGTCATCTAATTTCTTAATTTATGCCTGTCCTTCTTTGGTGTTCCTTATTGGTTCTTTGTGGCAGCCTGGTCACCCTCCCAGGCCATCCTCCAGGGGACCTCTCCACCACCCTACAGATGATCTTCATTTTCCATTCTCCAGAGACTGTTCTGTTCTGTGTCTCACAGTCATAAAACAACAAAACTGGTAAATAGTAGAAGGAGTTTTGCTTGGGGTCATAAATGGATCTCTGTAATTTCCCGAATAGCAACCCAGCCCACTTCCCTCCTCCTGTTTCATGCTGGGCCAGCTGGTTGTCCATTTGTCCTTTCTGTCCTGAGTATGCCTACTACCCATCCAACAGCTTCTTGTACTCCGACATTCCTTGTTCCCTCAGTCTTTTCCGTGTAAAGAATCAGGGCAAACTTGTTTAGTGGTTCTGGGTGTCTTCAGGGAGGCTCATTAGTGTTCTGGGGCTTGATGCACCCCATCACCTGCCGACAGGAGCATGTGGGAGACCTCACCCTGCAAGCAGAATCCTCTCTCCTCAGTATCCTCCTTCGTGGGACATGTCCCTTTGATGACCACACTTCACCTTGCTTTCTGCCTCACTTGAAGTGAATATCAGACGGTTGTTGAACAGTGCTCATTCAGCTATCACGTCCTTCCAGAAATCTAAAGTTATTGTGACGCATAAATGGGATGTGTTCATTGGAGGCAGCTTTAAGGTGATGCTCTGCCGTCATCCTCCGTCAATTCTTTGTCATATTCTACAAAGAGGAAGCTCAGTGGGATCCCCTGCTATCTACACCTTCCAGCCAATTTCAAGGTGGTCAGGGTATGGCCCTCTGTAGTATATGGCTCGCTCGTGAAGGCTTGGCTGTTCCCTATTGCTACCCTTATCTATCAGGCCTTTGGGAATGTGTAGACAGTTTTCAAAGATTTTGTAGAGATGGGAAAGTAGGCATGTAAGTTGGTAGTTGTCATGTAACAGTCATATAACATTGAGATTTTTTTTCCCCACATTTTGGTACTATCTCATCTTTGCAGATCTTTTCTATTTTTTTTCTTTTTGCTCTCCTTCATTTTTCATCCTTAAATGCCCTTGGGATGACTTTGTTTAGTTGGATGCCTTGCCAAAGCTTTCTTTCAACTGTTTTAATTCCCATTGCTGCTCTCTACTTTATGTGGCAATACCACTCATAATCCACCACCCATTTTCCATTATCAATTACTTGCTTGAAGTTATTTCAATTCTGTGTCTTATCTTTTGCTCATTATTCTTCTTCTAGCTTTTTAAAAACTAAATCTGATCTTTGCTCTAAGAACATAGTAGTCTAACTACACAGAGAGTTGATCCAGAGGTAACTCCCACATTCATAGAATCTGTTCTTGTCCATTAAATATAATCCTTCTCATTTTTTCCATCCACTAAAACAAAAGATGTTGTGTTTATCCCAATTAAATTTCATCTTGTTGGTTTCAACTGATACTTCTAATCTGCCAAGAGCTTTGTGGACCTCAATTCTGTCTGTCATCCAGCATTTTAGTTCTCCCTCCCAACTTTGTGTCATCCTTACATTTGATAAGACTAATCATTTAATTCAGAAAAACACTGAGTAGCAGAAAGCCAAGGAGAGATCCCTTCATCATCTCTCTAGAGACTTTCTGCTAGGCTGACATCGATCTGATACTGAGGACACTATGGATCCAGCCACTTCCAAGTCACCTAACTATACTGTCATCTATCACACACACCTCTTATCAGGTCAGCTCAGATATTGTAATAAATACATCAAATGTCTTCCTGAAATCAAGGCATTCCAGGACCTGCCTTTATATTTACCCTCATGATCCATTATTTTCAAATCTATAGAATCGTGTGAACTTGGTTTGAGGGGATTAGAATTACAGAAGAAAATAAGAGAACTGAGAAAGTGGTTGGTCATTATGGGAAGAGAGAAGATTGAGGGAGAAAAATTAAGGGGAAAAACAAGAAACGTCAAGAACAATCCACTGAGCTGGAAGATTCCACCAACCATAGATCCCCAGGGATCTCTTGGCCTGAGTCCCAGGTTAAGGGTCAAGCAGTTCCCCAACTCTACCTTTGTCTCCTCTTTATCAGCTTGTCCAGGAACCGGCTGTTGGATCACCCCGCCATTGTAATCTACACCATGCTTGGGAATGACGTGTGCAATGGGTGAGTAGTTGACCAAGGTCATGGCCATTCTGGTTTCTTTCCAGTGTTTGACCCTCTTCCTTTCTTTCTACCTCGGCAGCCAATGCCAGTGAAATAGAACATTCAATGTTTATGCTCAAAGCAACTTTAGAGATGGATCATGGTGTCCAACCCCTGTATTTTATAGATGAGGGAATACAGCCCATTGAGTGGGAAGGACTTGTCCTTCGTCACCCAGCTAACGAGTGGCCAGACTGAGATGCCCAGAAGGCAGAAACAGAACTCAATGGTGCTGCCCTTGCCCAACACCAGTTTTCCAACCATGACTGTGCTAGAAACAAACCCCAAGGTTCCCAAGGCCCTTTTCTTTCCTAGTTCCCTTCAAGAACCCCAGGACTCCTTGTTTTCATGATGGGGGATATTCAGACATAGGTAATTGAAGGAGTCAGGGACGGGCACTCAGCATGCCAGGGAGGGAGATGCCAGGGTGGGTATTCCAACTGGCATGCCAGCTGCTGTCTGTCCTTCCAGGGAGGCCACTTCTCTACTCTCCATGGAGCTGCCCCAGGATCCCATAAACCCTCTCCCTTATAGGAAGCATCCTCGGCAAGAGCTCACTCCCATTGCAGCCCCTGGGGGCACAGCACAGGCTCAGCTCTGCTCCTCCCTCCACCTCGGATCCCCTCTTTCTGCCCTTCCAGCCTGGCATGAACAACAACTTGGGATTCCCAAGCAACCTACCATCTACAAGCAGCTTCAAGCCCAAATGCTGGTTTTCATTTGCTCTGCTCAATAAATAAAACCCTGTGAAGGGGCAGAGCAAGTGTTATGATCCCCATTTTATGGATGAAGAAACTGGGGCCCTGAAGAACCAATCAGCTTGTCAAGGGTCACACAGCTGTAGTTCAGAGAGAATTCAGACCCAGCCATCTCCAGACTTCAACACCAGCATTTTTCCCTTTGCCTACATTGTCTCGTGTCTTATGCCAAACTACATCTCTAATACAAAATGACTCAAGTACATCTCCTCCCCACCAACTCCCAGGTCTCTCCTGAATGCTGGGAAAACCTTGTCCTGATGCTGAAGGCCCTCATAGCCCTCAGAAACAGGACTGGCCCAGGTGATACAGCAAATGTCCTGAGAGAGTCGAGGGAACTCCCAGGAGCAGGGTGCTGGGGCAAGTATCCCCACAAACCACAGGGCAAACATCTGCCCCCCAGAGAACCAAGGCACTTCCAGTATATGCTCAGACACAGCCCCCCTCCCCCATGCCAGGTGGGCTCAATCCCTGCACTTCTCAGAACTTTCTGTGTGTTTCCTCGACCTTTGAGAGTCCATAGATAGCACCATCGCACACAGGCTGCATCCCAAGTGTGACTGGAGCATGTGTCAGGGATGATGGGATAATGCCCCCAGCCCCACCTTGGAAAAGTGTCTTGCTTCCTGAGGGGACAGGAGAGAATGAGGGGGTTAGGACTCTCTGTATTGAAAAAGTCATGCTAATGTTTTCCCCCACAGCTGTTTCTAAAAATGGTTCTTCCATTGGAGTGAAAACCTTTGGGTATAAATAGGAAGGCATATTCTGGGCACAGCCTGGCATTTCTAGCTGCAGTGACCCAGGGCAAGTCTCTTCACGTGTCAAGGCCTCAATTTTCTGTAAAATCTGTCAAATGGGGGGGTTGGGGAAAGGACCGATCAAGTCCAACAAGCTTTTAGCAAGGGCCCTGCAGATGCAGAGAAAAGATCAGCAATCCGTCTGCCAAGAAGGGAGGAGGGCGCCAGCCTCCAAGTTGTGGGCCGCCTCCTCTGAAGAGCAAGGGTTGGGGAAGTGATGACAATCGGCAGGGTGACTGTTTGGTTCCTGGCTGTGAAATGGGCTTCAGCGGGGGTGTGAGTGTGTCAGGACCAGCTCAGCACCCAACAGGGCCCGTTTTGCCGGAGTGGGCCAGGAGCATGGCGGCTGGGGATGGTGGTGCAGTGGGGCAGACATCTTCCTTCCCTCCATCGCTGTCCCTGCTTCCGAGTACAGGGACAGGCCCCTTGTCTGAGCCGGGCTGCTCTGCCTCCAGCAGCTCGCATAGATGGCGGTGAGGCCAATGTGCCCAGGGTGTGACGAACTGACACATTATGTCAATGTCCACCGTACTTAATATGATGGTTATCGGCATGGTTCCCTTGCCATGAGGTTATGTGTGATAAGATCGAGTGTTTTCTGAAGGGTAGGACCCTGGGGTGGGTGGACAGACATCAGACAGGGCAGATGGTGCAGATGAGGCCTGGAATCTCAGTCGCAGAAAACACGAGCTAGGTTGGGGATCTCCATGGGCCAGGCCTTCTTATCACTGCCAGTCAGCTTTTGGATGGAGACCAAATGACATTTAGCAAGCCACCAAGAACATTTCGAGTTATTTTTTCTTTTGAGTTTCTCTCTCAGAACACTGCCTGTCACCCCGGGCTTTTGTATGGGAGACACTGTGTGACGTCAGTCAGATGGCTCACAAGTCAAGGGGGCGTCGGTGTGCCTGGCGAGGTCCTTGTCAGGAAGGAGGCACCTATGGTTAGGGACTTTCCCGTGGTGTCTGGAAGTGCATGTCTAGGAACTATCATGGGACAAGGTGCTGGGCTTAGGGTCGGGAAAGACCCAGGTTCAAATCGCTCTTCAGACACTTGGGTGGGGAATGAATGAGAAAGCCTTTATCAAGCCCTCACTAAGTGCAAAGACCCTGGGCAAATCACCTGAGCTTTCCAGATCTCGGCTCCCTCCTCTATAAAAGGTGGAGATTGGCTTCATTGGCATCTTAAGCGTCCTTCTGGCTGTAGTTCTGGGACCCTTTATCCTTCAATGCAAGAACTGAATCAGTATTAACAACATCTCATCACGGTAAACAAAGGCAAGAAGGAGGAGGGCCACAGGGGGCTTCCACCCCTGAGATCCCACAAGCGTGTGACCGCCACACTGAGCACGGTCCATTGCCAAGATTCGGCGATTCTGCTGGGTGAAGGTTCTGTCGTTTCCATAATTAACCCAGAGAAAGAATCCGTTGCCCTCAAGAAATGCTTGAAGGACAGACCCTGCAGGTGGGGACTGGGAAGAGCCCAGAGTGTTTCCTCAGCAGGACACTGGGGACACAGGGACCTGGCCCCTGGGGACACAGGTGGCCCATCTTCAAATGGCCCCCTCTCTCACTCAGAGAATTTAAAAAGCTGGCTTTTCTAATTAAATGAAGCTGGTTGGACATTGATTTCATGGAGGAAAGGAAATGGTCCCAGGTCCTTTGTGCCTGGAGTCATGAATTTCCTTCCTCTGGCTTTTGGTCCCTGTGATTTGTGAGGGAACACGTGCGCTCTGCTGGGATGTTTGTCACCTACATGAGGAAGCCAGTCAGAAGCAGATCTTCCTTGTCAGTGACCCTGAGAAGCTCCGAGTCAGAAGGGGTGGGGAGGGGAGCCCCCGAGCAGTGAGCAGGGAGGCGGAAAGCTCAGCTCTCTGCTCTGGTCCCTGCCCTATGTTACATATACATAGCCTATACCCTACTCTATAAATATTGATTTATAGAGTGATCTAGGTCAGTCTCCTCACTTCTCCCACTGAGACCAGGGAAACATGGCTGATCCCCACATCCAAAGGCTCCTGTGGAACTTGCAAAGGCCACTAAGGGCTCAGCAACGCCAGGAGGGCACAGCCTGCCAGTGAGCCCCAGCTTCTGGAGGGGCGTGGACGGGGCAGGGAGGTGGCCACTTCTGCCGTGGTGCAGCCCGATCTGCTGCTCAGGCTTTCCTCCATTTCTTTCACCAACAGGTATATCGACTCTGTGTCCAAGATGACCACTCCACAGGACATGCGAGCTCACGTCATGGAAACGTTGACATTTCTGAATTCTCGCCTCCCTCCGGGCAGCTACGTGGTCCTCTATGGACTGGCAGATGGACGCTTTCTCTGGGACCATTTGCATGACCAATACCATCCTCTGGGTAAAAATTGGGATAATTCTGGGGTCTCTTAGATCAGAATTCCTGAGGCTTCTAGTTTCTATGTTCATGGCTCAAACCAGCAACATTAGCTGTGGTGTCATGGATGGAGGGCTAAGCTGGCTGCTTAATGTGGGCACCAATGGCGCTGCTAGAGGGGAAGGGATTTCTAGGAATTCTGAAGTCTTGGTCAAGAGACTGAAGACCCGAAGGGCCCAGGTGGGGTTGTCTTCATGCTAGCCACGGAACCATGGCTTTGGAAGCCAGAGGTTGGGAGTGAAGAGCCAGTCGAGAGGATGTTTGGTGAGAATGGATTTGTGGATCTCGCCTTAATATAAGGGGCTACAGCTAGCAGGCACGTGGACAGTCACTGGGGCTCTTGTTCCCAAGACTCGTCCAATTTGATGGACTCTTTGAAGTCTTAGGAACAAGCACCCAGAAGACAACAGTCCTTTCTAGGGCTGTTATGGGTCATTGTATCCCAGAAGCTATCCCAGTGCTTAACACATAGTAGGTGCCTCATTAATGCTTGTGGATTAAGTCAACAAAGAACTGCATTGGTACTCTCCCTCCCCCGCCAGAAGTGGTCAGCTGCTTTTCCTTCAGGAAGAGCTTGGCTCCTTTCTTTCACCTTCTCCCAGCCCAAATTCCCAATATGGGTCAGGATTCCCCTCTGCCTCTGAGCCAGTCACTCAGCAAACGTGGGTTACGTGTCTACTGTGTGCCAGGAACCACACTAAGCTCTAGGGATACAAAGAAAGACAAGAGACGGTCCTTGCCCTCAGGAAGCTCCCAGTCTAAGGCGGGCAGATACCAAGCGGACAACAATGTACAAACAACCTGTCTTTGGTCTTTGATTTTGCCTTGAAATCCATTGTCCATTTTGTTTGTTTCTTTGTTTGTTTTTATTTTTATTTTCGGACTTCCTTTTCCATTTGGCCAGCTCTCCTTTTTAAGGCATTGTTTTCCTCATTGGCTTTTTGGACCTCTTTTGCCATTTGGGTTAGGCTGTTTTTTAAGGTGTTATTTTCTTCAGTATTTTTTGGGGTCTCCTTTAGCAAGCTGTTGACTTATTTTTCATGATTTTCTTGCATCACTCTCAGTTTTTCCTCTACTCTTACTTGCTTCTCAAAATCCTTTTTGAGCTCTTCCATGGCCTGGGACTGGATTATATTTTTCTTAGAGGTTTTGGATATAGGAGCTTTGACTGTGTTGTCTTCTTCTGGTCGTATGTTTTGGTCTTCTTTGTCACCAAAGAAAGATTCTGTGGTCTGACTTTTTTTTTGCACTGTTTGCTCATGATCCCAGCCAATGACATGAGTTTTAAACTCTTTGTTAAGGTAGGGGTCTGCTTCCAGTGTGGAGAAGCTTCAGCTGCAGCTGTTTTCAGAGATATTTCTAGGGACCTATAGAATTTCCATTATTCCAAGGTGGTACGATCAAGAGTGAGGTGTTTACTCCTTTCCTGGCCTGTGCTCTCATCTATAAGTGACCACAAGCACTCTTTCCTGCCTTGGAACTCTCCACCACCAATACAAGCTCCACCATGCCAGGGCTCCTCCTTGTCCCAGGACCTCCACCCAGAACTGCAACCCAGATCCAAGCATGGGCAAAAGAAGAAAATCCAGCACCAGCAAAGAGATCCCTGCAATCCCCCACTGATCAGTCACTTGATTCCCCCTCAGTCTGTGGGCTGAGAGCTCTGGAAACAGCCACTGTCCCAAGGTTGTCCTAGGATGGGGGCTGGGACCAAGCTTCTCTGTCACCGTGGTCCAACAGACTTTTCTTACTGACCTTCTAAGTTGTCTTTGTTATTTGTGGGTTGAGAAGTCTGGAACCGCCACACCTGCCCTGCCCATGATTCAGTTCTCTGAGAGCTGCTCCAGGTTCGCTGAGGCCTGGTTTGCCTGCGTGACCACTCTGAACTGTGCTCCTCCCCCAGCCTGGCATGATAGACCTTTCCCATCAACCATCCAGGTTGTCTTGGGCTGGAAATTTGTTTCGCTCTGTCTTTTTGTGGGTTCTGCTGCTCTGGAATTTGTTTAGAGCCATATTTTACAGGTATTTGGAGGGGGTTGGGGAAGAGCTCAAGCAAGCCACAGCTTTCATTCCACCATCTTGGCTCTGCCTCCCACTTTGTCCATTTTTTAAGGATGCTTGGCTCTTCTTGATAACCTGGCCCATGGAGAGACATCCCCAAGGCCCTTTGATGGGCATCTTGAAAGGGGACATGCCAGTGCTTTGAGCGCAAAGAGCAGAGATTTGGCCTCAGCAGAAATAAGCCCATCACTCCCTCTGCTGCTTCCGGGCTTCCCTTCTCAGCTTTCTCTAGCCTGGGGGCTCCCGTGGCAAACAGCTGCGGAAAACTGTCTGTTGGACGTATTTGTACCTATGAATGCCAGAGTCGTCAGGTCAAACCTCAGAGAGGACGTGGGACATGAAGACAGTGTACCCCTCCCAAAAACAAACGTGCCTGGCCCATGGAAGAGGCTTGTGAAATGAATGAATGAATGAGTGAGTGAATGGGCAAATGAATGAATGAATGGGTGAATGAATGAGTGAATGTATGGTTGAATGAATGAGTAAATGAATGGGTGAATGAATGAGTAAGTGAATGAGTGAATGAATACGTGAATGAATGAATGAATGAAGAACAGGGTGGCTACTCAGCACAGGCAAGGTCTTTGCCAGAGAGCCCTAGGAGCAAGGTGAAAGGAAGCAAGTCCCAGGAGATGGGCGAGGCTGCCAAGGGAGGTCCTGTTGCCGTTTCTGTCTTTCCTTGCTTAGCCATCGAGGATCCTCAAATGTGCAGAGGGATGGAGGTCGGAGCGGACAGGTTGTGAAGTACCAGAAATTGGAGCAGGAGAAACGTGGAAGTTTGGAAGCAGGGAAAGCGCAGGACGTGGCTCGGTACTGACCGAGCACCGTGGCAGGAGCGGAGCCGGGGGCAGCCAGGCAGGAGCCTGGTTTAAACTGCTGGTTTTCTGCCTAATCAGAACATCCAGATGCTCTGAGAGACCCCAGCATGTCCCGGGGTCTCTGTTCTGCTGATGATCCAGCCCAGGGCTTGCCCACTCACTCCCTCACACAGGCAGATGGGGAAATGGGGTCTGGTGATCCTTCAGTCCAGCTCATCTGAGAGAGAAGCGGAAAATAAGCCTGGGCGCTGTCACCATCAATCTCAAGCACAGCTTTAAGATGTGGCCTCGATTTTCATCCATTTGGGCAGAGCAAGAGATGCGTTCGTGCATGAGGCCTAGTCATTCTGCTGGAGGGGAGAAGGGGAGGGCAGGCTGGGGGGGCTCAGCCCCAGAGGGGGAGGCAGGAAACCTGGAGGGTGGGGGAGAGAGTCCTTTGTGTGTATGGTGTATGTGTGTATGGGGTTTGTATGTGTGTATGTGTGTGTGGTGTGTGTGTATGGTGTGTGTGTGTGGTATGTGTGTTATGGGGTGTGGTGTGTGTGCGTATATAGTGTGTGTATGTGTGTGATGTGTGTGTATGGTGTGTGTGTGGTATGTGTGTTATGGGGTGTGGTGTGTGTGTGTGGTTTGTGGGTATGGTGTGTGTGTGGGGTGTGTGTGTGTGTGTGTGTGTGTGTGTGTGTGTGTGTGTGGTATGTGTGTTATGGGGTGTGGTGTGTGTGTGTGGTTTGTGGGTATGGTGGGGGCGGGGTGAAGGAGGGCTGGCTGCGGGGCTCAGCTCCAGCGCTGCCCCATACCATCCCAGCCAGTCCCAAAGTGTTCCCAGGCTCAGCAGAAGGGCTGGGCAGGCAGCTGTGTCCCCTGGGGGAAATTGAACGTGTTATTTCAAGGCCCTCAGCGAGTCGGGTCCCAGGCCGTGACCAGAATGGGTGCCAGCCTTCAAGGCCCTTTGCCCCGGGATGTTCCCTTCCTCAGCACTCCCACCCCCACCCCCAGGCCTTCTCCACAGCCCAGCTAAAGCCCAGCTTCTCACGTGGTTCTAGACTCCCGGACTCCAGTCCAATGCTGGGTCTGCGCAGAGCATCCCAGAACCGGGAATGCCCTGAGACCCGAAGGTCAGAGTGGCCTTGTACCCAGTGGATGAGCATTTGCCCCAATAAAAAAGCAGCGAACTGGGGAGCTCGGGAGGCCTCGGCTTCGTGCCACATTCAGAACCATCACCCTTCCTGGTAAGGACGTGGTTCCCTCTGAAGTGGACGATCGCTGTCTTCCAGGCCAGCTGAATAGAGACGTCACTTACGAGCAGCTCTATGCCTTCCTCAGCTGCGTCCAGGTGAGCAGGTCCGCGGGCTGGTACCGGTGCGGGCGTCCCCACGACAGCCTCGTCCTTTCTGACCAAAGTGTCCAATGTTGTCCATCCGCAGGTGAACCCCTGCCGAGGCTGGATGTCCTCCAATGAGACTCTCCGGACCCTCACCTCTGAAGTACGCCTCGCCCCCGCCCCACCCCGCAGCGCCCCGGCCTTCTGTGTTCGCTAGGGGGGCCGGGAGCCAAGCCCCCGCTTAGTATATCAACCTGGCAGTGTGATCAAGAGACAACATATGAATATATAAATATATATACACACACACATACGTGAAGGAAGGAAGGGAGGAAGGAAGGAAGGAAGGAAAGAAGGAAGGAGGGAGGGAGGGAGGAAAATAAACTCAGCCTGACTTTTGTTAGACCTGGTCTCTGCCCAAGGGAGGGCTGGGAGTGGGGGAGGGGAAGGAGGGGGCAGTTTTGAAATCCTGAGTTCACGGACCCGCCCATCTCCTTGTTTGCAGAGAGCCAAGCAACTTTCCAACGTTCTGGAAACGATTGCAGCCAGTGAGAAATTTGCCAACGTGAGTCTCCTCTACCTGGATTATCCTTTCAAGGAAAGTGAGTACCCCTTCCATTCTGGGTGTGGAAAAAAGCACCGCTTGGCCAGCAGCTGTTCTGGGCCCCGGGCTCATGGCCTGCTCATGGCCTCCCTCTACCATAGCACAGCAACACAAACTCTTCTGCGTGGTTCAGTGGATTTGCACTGTGAGGACCCAAGTTCGAATGCCGCCTGTGTGAGCTTAGACTGGTCATTGCTCCGCCCTAGGTCTCAATTCGCTCATCTACAGAAAGGGCAGCTTATGAGGTCCCGCAGGGGAGCCAGCCATTCCCTAACCACACTCAGTAAAGTGAGCAGGCCTCTCCCTTGTACGGGGACAGCTTGGGATGGGCCGGGTGGGTGACCAGGCGGGGCATGCTGCACACCCACTGCAGGCCTGCCAGAGCCCGGTGAACTGAAAGCTGTCCCCATCTGATCATCATCAAAGCTATGTCCAGGGGCTTCCTGCTGGCCAGGGTCAGTTCTGCCCACGAGGTGGCTCTGTACTCTGAGGCCGAGGCTTCCTGACCAAAGCTTAGAAGAGCCGTCCAGAAATGGGGAGGCTCCCCATTTCAGTAATCAATCAATCAACATTTATTAAGCACCTACTATGTGCCAGGCACTGTGCTAAGCACTAGGGATACAAAAAGAGTCAAAAGACAGTTCCTGCAGAAGAGAAATAGAATGATCGTGGAGAAGGAGAGATCAAGGGAGGGGGCTGGGAGGATGGGGAGGCAGCAGGAAGGAGAACTGAAAACCGGTAAAAGAGGGGATGGCAGAGGGGGCAGTCTTCTGGAGGAGGTGGGATGGACGGGCTCACTGCAGCAGGGGGAGGGGTGGGGTCGGTCAGGAATCAGGCCGCTTCATCGTGGGAGCTGGAGGAGAAGAGGGGAGAGGGGCAGAAGGCACCTGAGTGATGGGGATGAGGAAGGGGGAGCTCATGGAGAAGGAGGAGCTCACGGAGAAGGGCCTCATTTTCCTGTAAAATATGAGGTGCGGTTCCCTCACTGCTCTGGTGTCCCCAAGTGTCCGGAGACTGGACTTATTTGTAGGTATGCGCAGATTCAGAGAATCCACCCCGAATGTTCACATGGACTATTTGTCCCCGACCTGTGGTAGAGCCTTCTGAGCTCACATCAGTCTGATCAGCCCCAGTCAAATGCACTGTGCCTTGACCCCAACATAGTGAGGTCATTTTGGTCCTCTTTGAGAACGAAGGACAAGGGGCAGCTGGGTGGCGCAGTGGATAGAGCACCGGCCCTGAAGTCAGGAGGATCCGGCCTCAGACCAAACACTTGACACTTACTAGCTGTGTGACCCTGGGCAAGTCACTTAACCCCAATTGCCAAAAAAAAAAACAAGAGAAAGAAAGAAAGAAAAGAAAGGAAAAGAAAGAGAATGAAGGACAATGTAGATGGATGGATGGATGGATGGATGGATAGATCAATAGATAATAATAGGAAGGAAGGAAGAAAGAAAAATTTGTCATCTTATCTGTCAAGTCGTCACAAATGGCAGTGAGTCAAAAATAATCTCAAAAACAGAAAATGCTTTGGAAAGCTCCAAATTACTAAGCAACAGAATTCGTGGTTAACTTTTTTACAATTTTTCAAGAGGTACAAAGAGGCCCCTTAGCGTTACATTTGCACGGAGGCATCGTGAATCAGCCCAGAGTGCAGTTACCAGTTTATTGCGTTCTGTATTTTAAAAAGTGCAAAGTGGCCTCCGCCATGTGGACAAGCCACCTAGGTGAGAGAGCTCAGCCTGGGGAGAAGCCAGAGCCAGCCTCAGGAATGTATCAGGTGACACCATCCTGGGCGAGTCTCGGTGGCCATCTGGCCCTCGGAGATGCTAGAAGGGCCGTGAAAAGCCCTGCCCAGAGAGCTGCTGCCCAGCCTCGCAGCAGAGAGCTGCTGATTCCCACCGTGGGGATGGCTATCAGCTGACAGGGAAGGGGCTTTTTGCCAGGCCAAAAACGGAGGCGAGAAAACTGGGAAGTCTCAAAGGCGGGCCCTCCTTTGTATATATGAAAGCCCTGAAGTCCTAGTGCCTGAGAGTCCAGACAAATCAGTAGGTCAAACCTGAGTTACAGGCCTGTCTCTGCATAGGTCCTTGGCGCTGACCTGTTCCCTCACCATCCGGGCACAGCCCTGGTCAGTAAAGTGATGGCCCTGTGACCTAGGTCAGTGCTGTCGGCCCCATTTCACAGATGGAGGCAGTGAGGGTTGGGGAGAGGCACAGCAGGGTGCCGGTGACAAAGCTCCGCGAACGAGAGACTCAGACTCCATGGGGCGACCATGCCCACCGTGTGCCTCCTAGCCTTGTCTGACCTCCCGGAGTCACATGGAGGAAGCCTGGCTTTCTCTAAGGCTTCACTGAGCCTTCGAGGAGTCAGACAAACTGACGGGGAGCAAATTGGGGGTGCAGGCCCTGCAACCTGTGAACCACAGCTTGCTGCTTCCCCTACCTGTGTGCTCACAGGCATCCCTTCTCCATCCTCCCTCCCCAAAGCTCACTCCAGCCTGAGCTCCCGATGTTGCCCCCGGCTGCTTACCTCATTTGGGGGTACCATGGGGTGAAGCTTCTGTGGCACATGTGGAAGGCAGGGATGGGCTGCAGTCTGCACCCTCAGAGGGAACACCGGCATCGGTGAGCTCACAGAGCTATGGGAGTGTTTGAGGGCTTCTAGGTAGTATCCCTTTAGCTGGTCCTCAGGCCATGCTACCGGAGAGCTGCAAGCACAGCCTGGACAACCACTCACCAGGGATTCTGGAGAGGAGCTCCCTGTCCAGGTACGAGGGCAAACATCTAGCTCTGAGATTCTGGGAAATCACCACCACTTCTCAAAATGTGGTACTGGAAGCCTTCGGCCTAGTTGTCCTCGGGCACACATGCATGCACACATGCACACATACGCACATGCGTACATGCACTCACGCACATGCATGCTCACACACACACACGGCGGGCTCTTTGGGAGGGACATCATTTGTAGAAAGCGTGTTGGGTGAGAGAACAGCAGAGAGAGCAGGCCTGCCGGTGACTTTATGAAGAGCCCCGGAGCTCCTTTCTTCTCCTCCCTCTACCAGCTGTAAAGCGGCAAGATTGCATAGAACCCAACACACCGAGAGCCGGAAGATTTGTGCTTGAACCCCGACCCTGTGACCTGGGGCAGACCTCTCTGGGCCTCTGAAGCACCTGGATGAGGCGATTGCTTTGGCCACCTCCAGGGCCAAGTCCCATGATCCTCGCATCCAGTTCTCATGTATGGACCCACTTGTCCTTTAGAAGTTAGTGGACGTCCACGAGAAAAACAATGGAAAAGACACCTGCAAGGGAATGGAGCCTGCAGCCATGGGTTGGATTGTGCATGACTACCGAGTCAGAGTTATTCACCAAAACAAGCTGGCATTGAGTGCCAAGATAAGGGATGGTCACGGAATCTCCGACTTGGAAGGGAGCATCAATGGGCAGGTAAATGTCAAAGCCCCAGGGCTCACGGCGTCTCCCTAGACCACCGGCCTTGCTTCCAGCCCAGCTTCGAAGAGAGCGACCCCTAGGGAGCCATCAGCCACTCCCACCACCTGCCACTCCGAGGGAAGGCTGGTCAGCCCATCTGAAGCCACGGGACTCTGAGGGAGAGACGGGAGGTGGGGCGTGCCACGTGAATCAAACCACCACGGCCACGTCGGCCATCACCTCCTCTCAGATCCCAGTGGAGGTAGCCCAAGAGCCCTGGGAACAGCAGTCCAGCCCCCACAGCCAACATCCAGGGCATCAGGCTTCAGGGCGATGCCATCTGACGGCTGCCCACTCAGCAGCCACGGCTCCTGAGCCCCGGGAAAGAAGGTTGTCGCCCCAGAAATCTCTGGCACCGGCAAATATTTGGACATCAGAAATGGCTCTGGTGGTAAAGAAGGGGCCTGACCATCTCTGTGCATCGCTGCTGCACCCTGACAACTGTAGGACCATTCCATGGTGAATGCTGCTGAAACCTCCTGTGTGTGCACGGTCTGCTCCCTTCCGACAAGAGCCCCTCGGGAGCAGGGACTGACTCCGACTTGCGGCACTTTGCCCGTAGGAAGCCCCTAGAAAGTGCTTTATTCATCATTTGTTTGTTCATTCATTCACGGGTTCAGCCTGGCACAGGAGACCAAATCCCTCACTTGTGATCCTGGCTCTGCCACAGGCTGACTGAGAAGGGCTGGGCAAGCTTCTAAACTACTCAGGGCCACGCTCCCTTCCCTGTCTGAAATCAGAGCTGACTATTCTCTGCCTCTGAGGGCAGGATTTACCGAGCCTTTGGCATGTAGCTAAGCCTGAGTGGCCTCAGAGGGCACCTGCGCGTGGCTTCCTCGCCCTAGGACCCTTGTCTCAGAGCAGGAAGAGGAGGCACTGTAGGCCTGCTCGTACCGGGCAGTGCCAAGGCTGCTGGAGCTCCCAGTGAAGCCGACGGCCAGAGCTCTGGCCTGCTGCAGGCCTCGGCGGGGAGCCGGACCCCAAGACGTGCCTCCAAACCAGGCAGCGTTCTGCAGACTAGACGTGTCACCAGAAGTCAGAGGTCCTGCCTCCATCAGAAAGAAGAGTCAGGAAAGGAGAGCCCTGGGGTGACCCGTGTACATGGACGGCGACCTAAGCGTGTGGGCTTGCTCTGAGAGCCACCTTTCCATGGGCCTAGACTGGAGTCTCCAAGGAGATGAGTTCGAATCCCCCGATGCTTACCTTCTGGATGGCCTTGACCTCACTGGGCCTCAGTTTCCTCTTCTCTGCAATGGAACTAATACCACCTGCAGAGCCTACCTTCCAGCTTCAAAGGGGATGAGGCAGGGAAGTGTTTTGCCAATCTTAAAACGCTCTTCTTAGGATTGCTATGACAGTAATCGCCTTGGTTGTGTGCTCCACAGTGTCTGAGGAGTGGCAGAGGAGAGGGGGAGAGACGTGGCAGCTGATTGAGCCAGCCGACGGCTTCCACCCCAGCGAGGTAAGGGCTGAGCAGGCCCATGGCGGGGGAGGGGACAGCACATGGAGGCCACGAAGGCCGCTCCAAGGGGCTGAGCGCAGCAGCTCCAGCCACAGGGGTCTGTGCTCCCTGCCTCCCAGGCAGCCTCAAGCTGGGCGTCTAGGGACACTCTCCAGAGAGGTGCCCGGGGATGGCAGGGCACGTGCTGCTGAGCTCCTGCCCGGCGGAGCCTGGGGCTCTGTTCTTCCTCCCCCGGCTGCTCTGGCAAGCCCTTAACTTCCTCCAGACCCTTCTCACCTCCCAGACTTCCCCATCTGACAAGGGCCCCTTGTCCCCCGCCTTCCACACACGACCTCTCTGAAAACAGCCAACGTCAGCTTGCTAAGAGGAAGCCATTAGAGGAAACTGAGGCACTGGACTGCTGGGTTCCTTTGACTCTTCCCGCTGCCTGACTCACTGTCTCCTCGTTCCTCCCGTTATGACCTTCACACTTCCTTCTGATGTGTGATGCCTCAGCCAGTCTGTCTCCTTCCTCTCCCCCTCCTCCCCCCACCCCACCCGCTGGTAGGGCCTTGCATCTACTCACTTTCCTCGTATGGGCTGTGCTGCACATCCCCAGCACCCAGCACAAGGTCCATCACAGGAAGTGATTAATAAATGTCTGTTGATTAATTGGCATTAACTGAGCTGGTCTGAGCTGAACACATTCCTCCAGTGAGTAATGCCCCCAGCTTTTCTCCCATAACCACCCCAAGTCATTGTCCTTAGATAGAACAGAAATCTTTTATTTGAATAATATTTCAACGGCTCTCTGGTCTCACAATAATAGCTAGCATTTCCATAGCACTTTAAGGTTAGCAAAGCACTTTACAAATATCATCTCATCTTATCTTTATGACAACCCTGCGAGGTAGGTGCTTTATTACCCCAAATTTACAGATGAGGAAACTGAGGCAGAGAGTGGTTAAAGGATTTACCTAGGGTCACACAGCCAGTGAGTGTCTGAGGCTGGAGTTGAACATAGATCTGCCTGCATGTGGGTCCAGCCCCTCTCCACGTCACCACCTCGATACTCATCCAAGGGAGAGGACCCCTGGTATATGTATTCTAAGAGACCCTGCCCAAAATTCACCAGAATCATTTCCAGATGCAGAGGACTAACCGTGGAGGCTGTCAGGGGAGGACAGACCAAAGCAAGCGAAGAGTTGTACATCCACACCAATTGCAGCTATGTTTTTAAAAAAAAAAACAAAAAAACACAGCAACGGCCCAGAGGTATCTATAAACATGAGGCCTGGAGGGCACGCCACAAGGACCTCCTCTCCATTGCCATTTGGGCCCATCGGCTTATGGGCACTTTTTTATATAAAGTAGATTAAATATAAAACAGGGCGGGGGGAGCACATGCCTATTAAGTTCATTCCATAAGCATTTATTAAGCACGGACTGCATGCCTCTGCTGGGAATACAGAGACCAGAGGGAAATAGCCCCTGCCGTCCAGCAACCTAAGGCTCTAGTGGAGACTGCGTCAGACGTGAGTCAATGACCACAAAGTGATCTGAGGACACAGATCCCTGACAACTGGCCACTGGGGGAGGGAAAAGATGAGGGGAGGCTTCAGGGAGGAGGTGGTGCGGAGTTGAGCCTTCGAAGGCAGCTAAGGATTTTCCTAGGCTGAAGTAACCAAGGAAGACATTGGGGGGGTGGAGGTTTGGGGGTGAACACGGGAAGGCAAGCTAGGGAAGAATCCAATAGGTCTGTGAGGGGATGAACCTGCGAGTTGGGGAGATTGGTGCCCCTCCTCCCCCCGAGGGGCGGGGGGGGGGGGGCAGGGGGGGGGGGGGGGGGGCAGGGCAGAGTGGGACAGTGGAGTCTGAGATGCCCCACAGGCAGCTGGGATTGCAAGAAGAGAGAGTAGGGTGGGTCTTGTAGCTTTGGGAGGCATCTGCTGAGGGCTGACAGTTCAAAGTAGATGAGGTCATTGGGAGAAGAGGGTAGCACAGTTCATCCAGGCAGGTAGATAGACAAAAATTATAGGTAGGTAGGTAGGTAGGTAGGTAGGTAGGTAGGTAGGTAGGTAGGTAGGTAGATA